TAGGACGAGAGGAAACGGCCTAAAGTTGCGCCAAGGGAGGTTTTGACTGACATTAGGAAAAACTTCTTTACTGAAAGAGCGGTCAGGCCTTGGAACAGGCTGCCCAGGGAAGTGGTGGAGTCGCCATCCCTGGAGGTGTTTAAAAGACATGTAGATGAGGCGCTTAGGGACATGGTTTAGTGGGCATGGTGGTGTTGGGTTAACGGTTGGACTCGATGATCTTAGAGGTCTTTTCCAACCTTAATGATTCTATGACATGACTTGTGCAAAGAAAGTTTTGTACCTACCCTAGTACTGGCTGGCTATTTTAAGAAAAAGAACAAAAAAAGTAAAAGTTTCTTTCAAATTCTGGCTATTCTGTGCATGGAATAACTAGGTAGCTCACACAACTATCTTCCACATGTTCTAAACGAAGAAGAGTGTTCCCAATTCTCACAATTGTATCAGAATCTCTTACCTAGAAATCCAGTAAGTTGGTAACAGAAAATTCCACCAGTATCTCTTGACTTAATTCAGAATTAGATTGTTTCTAGACCTCAGGTTGAGAAAATTCAGAACACAAAGACTCAAAAGACTACTTGGGACTCGCTTTTAAAACTGTTATGATAAGAAAGAGCAAGTCCATTTCTCAAAGCCACACTCCTTACTCCCAATAAGTAGCTCTTGACTGCGAACAAATTCAATAGTCTCGTTCTCTACTTGAGCCCAATCTCAGAATTAATTTATGTACTATTCCAATTCTAAAATGTCAAATGAGAATTCCAGTTAGCCATTTCTGAACCAGATATCAAATAATTTAACTGACCCATGCAAATTATCCCAACCCCAACATGCCACAGTAATTCAAAGAGACATGGCACGGGAAACAGTTATTTGAGATATCTGACTATGAAAGAATTCGAGCATATTTCTGTGTGCATAGGGGGAAAAACTGCAGTGGCATAGATGTTTCAAGCATTTCATGAAAACAAAGCTTAATTTCTTTCAAAGTACTTAACAAAAGTGAACTAATTGTTTTCACTACATAATTTCCTTTCTTCAAAAAGATAAACCATGAAATTCGTAGTTAAATAAATGATGCAGTGATGCTGACTCCTGAACTTTACAAAACCTTTAGCAATCCTCACACATTCAGTAGACATCAAAACCAGTATGAACCAGATAACGCAATAGACTGGAGAGTTATAAAAGCCACAGACACATACTATCCTCACTTAGCAAATGGCAGGTATTTTTAAGGCTTTTTAAAAAGTTTATAATGGAGTGGGTTTCTTGCCATAAAATTATCCTAGGATAACAGCTTCAACAAATAAGAACTTGCAATCAGCTAGTGAAATTCCTGACATGTGTCTATATCATGTAGCAAAAGTGTGTAAGTTAGTGAAAGCCGTAAACACTTTACTCTAGGGTCAAAGAACTAACATCTCTGTAGCTCAGGACATCTTTTTGATGTATGTGAAACAGCTGGAATAAACATATCAAGGGTAGGAATTGTGCTCCCATAGTAGATCCAGCTGCTGCAAAAATAAACCCAGGGGGAAAAAGTCAAAGAGTAAAGAACCCAACAATATAAAAAAACCTCCTACACCACACAATCTCACTGTTTCTGCATATGTCCTTTTAAAATACAGGATTCTGCAAATACTCGTTGAAAATGAATGTAGAGATTAATTTATTAGAAGCAAAACCAGATTATAAACTGTTTTAAAAAAAAAAAATCAAGGAATGACTTTTATTTAAACAGCACTGAACAGCAATATTTTTATCTTTATTGATTTTTTTCCAGAGTTGAGGAACATTTGTACCTGCTAGCAAGAAAGTTATTTTAAAAATTAACAGAGACTCATAATAATCCTGTTAATACTTTATTAGTGTAATTTTTTAGCTTTCTATTGGACAGAACATAAATGCAAACTCCAAAAAAAAAAATTCAGAGTCCTCTGCCATTCAGTAGAAGTGACCATGGCAGCCTGTTTCATGTTCATTCTTTGTTACGGAAACGAGAGGAGGGGGAAGGGAGGGAAAAAGCATCAATAGAACAATTAGGCACACAGCTGACACTTACTGTACAATGATATGCACAAGTAATTTATAACAGCTATATTCATGAGATGTGCTCTTCAGATTTTTCCCTTGTAATAAATGAGCTTTGCTCAGATGAGCAAAGATCATTGAGAACAAGGGAATTAAGGAAGGAGTAACAAATAAGACTTTTAAAACAAGTCCTTAAATTAACTAACGCAACAACAGAATGCAAAATTGTTCAGCTGAGAAGACATTTTTAACCTAGACTTCAAAACATTAAAAATTCATTTATTTTACAATTATTCAAATACACATGCATTAAATGAAAATATTGCACAAAATTAAAATTTAGATTGTGGAATTCATGTATTTTTATTTTGGTACACATTCTGGTAGCACTTAAAATTTACTGTTTAGTTCTAGCAAACACCAGCAGCACAAGCTTGAGGATGAACCAAATGAAAAATTCAATTGCTCATTTTCTCTTAAAAATAATTAAGGCTAAAACAAGTGCATTTGTTGACAATGGCACAATTTTCAGCGGCCAGTCACAGCACCCAAAGGCCAGAAGATACACCCAGACACTTAAGTGCTGTATATTAACATTCAGTTTTGGAGATTTTCTAGGATAATAGGCTGCATGGGTTGACAGGGCAGGTATTTTAAATCGTCAACAGGAAACCTATTTAAATAAAGATACATACAAACTCTTTTTAACAAAAAGTATTCATTTCTGATGATTCTTGCCAGCCAACAGGCACCACTGAATTAGGAAGCCACATTCTGTAATTAAATACAGAAGACAAAACTTCAATACATATATACATATGCACACACATGTATATAAATGTGTGTATAGGTATATGTATGTAATAAATTCATTAAGTAAAATGACTAATAAACATGGTGTATTATGTTCAGTTCACATTCCTAGAGATAATATTTTATTTTTGTACAGAAATGTACCAGATAATTAAAAAAAAATCCCAAATTTGCACATGATCACTATTCTCTTGAAATTTTTCATGGTACCTACAGATAGATAAAAGGTTCCACAGATTTGACAAAACAGTATTTGAACTTTCCACTTTCATACCGCATAACAAATTCAGTGATTTAAGACATAAATTAGATTTGGTAGGATCAATGATATATTTAGTATATCGCCAAGAACAACTGCTGAATGATCTTTCATCAGTCAGATATCAGGTATGCTTGAGCACCCTGACATCAGAGGAAGATACAGGCATGTAAACAATAGGAGCTGGCTATGTTGATTACTTCACACAGAACTCAGTAATTTTGTTAAATTCAACAGCACTTAATCATCACGCTTCTACAGAACCTGCAGAGAGGAAGGGGGAAGGGTTTTTACATATTTACCAACTTGTCTTCCTAGGGATTATAAAAGAAAGGGATTTCATTTACAGTATTTAGTTCTGCAATAAGGAAAAAAACCAAGTGCACTTGAGCCCATGCATACTGTATGAGACTGTTAACAGTACAATATGATCATCATTAAGTAGTATGATAAAAGGCTACATTGCATTAATAGAGTCCATGAGAAAAAATGATCTATATAGAGGCTTCAGTCAACTTAACTAGGTCCTTTGAGAGCCTTCTATCTTCTCTTAGAACGCTTTCATAAAAGGTCTATGTTCCTCCCTCGCATAAAAGGATCATTTGTTCCCATTAAGACACAAATTACTGTAAGGATCCTTGATCAATAGTTGTATCTTACCCTGTGTTTAGCGTTCAGAAAAAAATGGACTCTACAGGATTACTTTCTATTCACCCGGATAGTGGTGCTCAAACAGTTGGGGACTATGAAAAAGAAAACACAAATTGAGATATGCTGTGGCCAAACAGGATTATTCAGTTGTTACTTTATTTTTAATTGGACAGAAATTCTTCAATGAAACTGAACAGATGGATGTGGGGCCTTGATGTCAAATTTTTATTAAAATTTTACACTATGCAAAAAATAAAAAAAATATTTAAAAAAATATTGTCGTTTTATCTCCTTTTTATTTTCATATATACACTGAGATGCATTCAGGAATTTCCAAGTATTTGCATATGACTAATGAAATCCTTTACCTGTGAGGAACCAACTAATTCTAATATTTTTCCATATGAGGCTTACACACTAAAAGGTAAGGAATCTTTCAATTAAGTAGGACATAGTCTTTTACACCCAATAAAAGTTTCAAATTTTAGTGGGGAGTTGTGTGTAAACTGTGTCTTAGTGCAATTTCCTCATCTTCTAACATGATGTCTATCCTCTTTGAAACATGTACCCCCTTCCTTCTACAACTATCAACTTGACATATGTTCAAATACGCCAATTGAACATAAATATGATGCCCCTTCTCCACTGAAGTTACATGCAAAATGTATGCCAGGTGCTATAAGAGCAGAATATGGCCCTTAAAGCTACAGAATAATTAGAATAAGGGGTTTATTTCTACTGCACCTCTGCCTTTACTAAACCCCGCCTTAGATCTAACATTAATTTATTTTTCAAAACATGAAAGGTGACATAAATGTGGCATAAAAGCCACTTTACCTCAACTTTTCTTTAATAAATGTACTTTTATGATGGGGTGATAACTATTTCTCCCCTCTCCTATGAACCTGCTATTCCAGAGACTGCTTCTCCCGTTAGCTCAGCCTTTACAGGAATGTTAAAAGAGCCCTACAGAGCCTCAACAGTCATAATGAAGAACAATTCCACCTGATTCTCACACATTGCACTATCTCCCAGTGCCAAAACATCCTTTTCTTCCATTGTATCATCATAGTTGTGCTTTACTTGAACAGTCTGGCACTTTTCATTGCTGGCAAAACATCGACTCAGGAACAGAAGGAATCAGCATTCTTACATAATGGGCCAGTATTCTTCTCAATGTTGCATGAAGACGCACCAAATCATTTCAGACACACAAACCCTTCCGGTAGTGGTTGAATTACAAGTGAAGATGAGAAGATCCACAGGTCTTACATTAATAATCTAATATGTGACACTAAAAGACTGGTGCAGAAATAACAGCATGTGAGTTTGAAGCCCCAGAGAATCTGCCCAAGTAATTAGTCCTGGACAAACATACACCAGCTTAATAGGTTTGAAGTGTCACCTTTTCTGCAAGGAAGGCGCTTGAGTAGAATGTAGTCTCTGCTTATACCTCTGCATCTGCTTTGACCGTGAATGCAGTTTGTTGAAGAGCTCATGGAACTTATTTTGTGGAAATAAGGTTTCTAGGAATCTCTCCAGAAACACGTACACCATTCTCTTATTCAGTTGAGTGTGCTGGAACATTTCAAAGACCCGAAGAATGCCTTTCCGTGTTGTCTCAGCGCCTATGATGTGCTTCAGTTCATCTACAAAAATGAAAGTTACACAGAAGTTTAAGCTAAATTCTGCTTCTGTGTTAACAAGAAGTCTTTCAAATTACATAGCTTGGAATTTGAAGTAACAGTGCCTCTATTATACATAACACAATTAAACTAAAAGTTCTCTTACAGCAGTTCTCTTACAGCAGAAAGGATTTCTGAAGATTACTTCATTTTTACACTATACATGTGGAACCATGTTATTTTACATGAAATTATGCTGTACTGGAATATAGGTATTTCATGCACTAAACTTAAATCCTCTAGTGAAACTAAATACCGGGTTGGTTCTAAGAGAATTACAGTTGCAAAGTCACAGTACATTAAAAATGTTCAGTGCTTTAATAATTAAAAATCTTTTTATTTAAATACAGTTCATATGTCAACATTTCAACAATCAGCAAGAATACTGACATTAACTCCCGTAGCAATATATGGTAAGAATTATTAGACTTCAATCCCAGACTCACTTACCTGGCATTACCTCCAGTAATTTGGTCTTCCCTGCCACTCTTGTTCTCATTCTAATAGCTTTGTCCCTCCGTGGAACAGTCTCTGCTAAAATGCCATTGGGCCAAAAAGCATCTCTGTAACAAAAGCAAATCTGTCAAAATACATTAAAATTTTATCAAGTGAAAGGCACTTTTTAATCCCTCAAAGCTATCTCATAAAATAAATACAAGAAAGTAATTTGCACACAACCTAACACACACTTAAAATACTAGAAAAGGGAAAAGGCGAAAAAGAAGTCAAAAGCAAGTACAATACACTTAACTTATTAGTAGCTACCATATACTTTTTTTAGTATAAGAATCAGATGAAAGAAAATTTTAAGAAAATATTACACACCAAAACCATTCAAATACCACATAGTTGTTACATAAAATATACCTAAGATTTGCTTTTACCAATCAGTTTCTGTTGCCACTGAAAGAGTCTAGGCTTAGGTCTGTTAATTGCTTCATCAGATCTCTGACAGTAGTTAACCTATCAACAAGCTAAAGCTGAGATGAAGTAGTTTCAGTGTAGTATAAAGCCCAATGCAAAAGACATGCCTCTGTCTAAAAAGGTATTTTGCCTCAGTGAATTAAATATTCTTTTTCTGAGTAAGAAGCGCATATTCTTACTCGGTTTTATTAAAGAATAACAGAATATCTGTAAAGTATGACCCTTTGGCTAATATGTTATCCTACTTTATCTATTTCACCCTATTTAAAAAAAAAAAAGGCAAGGGGGGTGGCTCTCACTCAACAATACTGCAGAAGCCATTAAGACTTTTAGGAAATGGCACAGAGCCTTTGATACTTTCAAACTCAGACTTCAGTTCTGTTGTATCTGCCCATATGTGAAACATATTAGCTTAGAGCTAGGGTTTTTTTAGTAATTGTGTGCCTTTTAAGGCAAGGCATGCACATGCCTTCATCAAGGTAAACAAGACACTTCATCCAGTAATAGGATGAAATTCATGAGTATATCCATACACTAGCTCTTCTAGACTGGTTAACAAAGAACTTTTTAAGGAAGAGGAGAAAACTCGAAAATATTCTTCATGTGATAATTACTTTCTCTCACTTAACACACAAAAAGCAGTGTATGCTCCAACTGGAATTCTGTACAGTAATAATAATTTCCTCACATAAAAAGAATAGGAAGGATACACAGATATTAGACATCAATTGGCAAGTACTTCATATTTAACATCTATGATAAAAGACATACCTGAAGCGTTTCACCGCATCTGCTACTTGCTCAGGAGATGTCATCCAATCAACATGATCAACTATTTTTCTAAAAGCAAAGCAACAAGTCTCCCTCAATTAATTTTTAAAACAGAGAACAAATAAGTATAGCATTTTAAAGAGCACTCTAGGGCAAACGAAGTATAATTTCAGCTTTCTCCAGCTCCATAAGTAGGTTCTATAAAACTGCACACTGGGAAGGCAAACACTAATTCTCAAGATAAAAATCTAAGCTCACTGATCACTCCTAAAACTAAAGCCTTTTTCTTTTTGAGTAAAAATGTACGATGACTAAGCAGGCTGGAAAATTGATGTTGCACCTCCCATCAACATTAGATAAATGTTCTGCTTGTAGAGGCTGCTCTTCATGGAGCACTTTTCAAGTTCTGCTTCTGTAAGCAAAGAACCTACTTAAAACTCTCAAATTACCACACTGATGTATGCACTCTCTCTTTAACAGGAGATACAGACTGATCATAAACTTTGACCTTCGTTCATCAACACAAACACACAGCTCAATATCCAAATCTAGTATGTTTACAGAAATGATATATGCATCTGTGTATCACCATAATCTTTTCCCTACACATAGTTTGAATTTAGTTTTCTAAGAAACATGAAAACACAATTTTGTTGCAGAATGCATTAAACCCCAAGAATCTGATAGGACAAGGTGTGTCTGCTGATCCGGACGAAGCTCTGAGTATCTGGAATAGCTCCAAAAGCAGAAGCAAAATAGTTCTGCACACATCTCTGCAAAAAGAAAGCAGCAGCCTGTGCACAAACTCAGCTAGTTATACTACAATCTGAAAACAGCATAAAATACTCAGAATTGTTCAACAGGGCAGCATGTTTTTGGAAGCACAGATCTCAAGATAATTGTCACCTGGCCATGAGGAATTACTTCAGAAACACCCACTGCTATTATTATTACATGGCTGCATCACTACTGGTACCACAAGAATTGTCTTTATGTTTAACAGTGATGATGAAAACATCAAAAATATACTTGTGAAGGGTAAAAAGTAATGATACAGGGAGGAATGTCCTGAAAAAGTAACAGGAAACTAATTCTCACCTGTCAGAAATTAAGTTTTTGATTCATGGCACTAATGCAAAGTGACAATTTAGTGCCAATCCTGTTTCTAGAAATTTTTTTGTTCTATATTTTTACTTACATTTCAGAAGCGAGTTATTAGAACGGAAAGCCTGGAAACAGTAGATTTCTAAGCTGAGGGCAAGAAACATTATTTATTTAGCACTACTAATGTGCTTTGCATTTGCATGAAAAAGGGTATATGTGAATTACAGAGAACAGGGGCGGGGGGGGCAGAATGGACCCATAACAGTCCTTTCCCTTCCCCCCTCGCTCCACCTTTTAAAGTGAGAGCAAAAATTTAACAGAGCAACTCAGTACAGTTCATGTAATTTGACAGCGCCCGTGTATCATTTGTGGCATCAAAGAGATGTAAACAGAAATAATGCAGAAAGTAATAGATAGTATTAACAACAAATTAACAACAAAGTAAAACACAGGGCAAAAAGCATAGACACCATCAGTATTAAGTTACATTCACAGAAACGTGAACTCTTGTTGATACGTGAAAGCTCTTTTGGAAGTTCTCTGGCATATAAGAGTTACTGCAATTTGTCTTTCAGCAATGTTTTGTGTTTATCTCCCTTTTAACACCACATTTGTACTTGGTTTATTGATCCTCTTCAAAGGGGAATGCATGCAGATCTAAACCACAATAATTTAGTAATACCAAAAAGGATTTATAGACACAGTCTACATAGTCTCACTCACACAATTGCTCTATATAAGAAAAACAGTACCTATTAATTGTGTCACCATATGTTGCTCTAATAAGTTGCTGAAGCAGATTTTTTATATTTCTTCTTAACCACTGATTTCTTTCCTTTAAATCAAAGACTTCATCCATAAGGAGGAGCATTACTCTCAACGGAATATTGTCATCCACCTGATCAAGCGAGTAAAAGTATGATCAGTAAACTTTTATTTTAGCTCAAGAAAGCTACAGTTCTAGTAGCTACTTCACAGGTCAAATGCTTCAGTGTAAGCAGAACAATGACAGAAACACTTTGCTCATATTACTGTAATATGAAATCTTCCCTAAATCTTCTATAACATCCATCTTCTATGGATGGTGTACAGTTGCAGTAACTGTCAACATTTTTTCAAATATTAAAATTTGAGGGAGAGTTTACTAAATTCTGTAGTATGAAAGTATTAGATTTTCATCTTAGCTGTTATTAATGTTTCTCTTATAGAAACAACAGCAGCTTCTCCTGGCCTGCTTATATGCCAAAATAAGCCTACATATTTTTAAGCTATTGAATAAGACGACAGCATTTGGAGTTACAGTTGTTTTGGGCAAGAGACCACAAATATTTATCTCAAATACAACAAATGAATTTGATTTTTTGACTGATTCATTATTTAAACTTTATATTTGTTATTAAAACTTTACAGAATAGCAAGCTAAAATTAAAATCTTACTATATCCTCAGCAAAATTTATTTGAAGACTGAATGCACCTTCTCTGTTTTTATTTTTTATTAGGATTTTTACATTCTAAGTGTAACATTCAGAATTTTGTTTTATATTTGAAATCTCATACAGCTCTATCTCAAAAGTAGTAGTTTGCACTGTATTGTTAACCCTAGGACAGAAGAAGTAGCAAGATCTCACAGCTATGTGGACTTTTTTTGGTGGACTACACAAGTACATCTTTATATACAACTGGAACACAGACAGTGGATTCATAATCCAGCTGGAGATTCTATAGATCCGTGCCTCACTCTTACAGTACTGCTTCTCCACGTAAAATTCCATTCAAACTGCCATATTTTTTGTCTGATTTAGTGACTAAGTTGTGAACAATGCTTCTTAAAAGAGCAGTTGAGAGTTGAAAGGTTTGAAAACATCTGAAATCTGCCTTTCAGAAACTTGGTATGTTAACTAGAAGTTATCAAGAATTGTAGCTTTATTAATTTTACAGAAGATCAATGAAATATTTGCACAGAAGCTGCTCATATACTTGAATGATACGATTTTGTTTTGCCTGTGCAAAACAGAAGCCTCAGGAGTATCAGAGGTATACATTTGTAATTACAAATTCATGGATACGGTGAAAAATAATGGGGAGAAAGAAAACCCAGAAGAACTCAAGGCTATGTTATTTGAGCAAAAATACATCTACCAAGCCATCATAGCAGTTATGCGCAGGAAGACAAACTGGAATGCTTTCATGTGACCAAAAAACCTGAAACGTGAAGGGCAGAACAGGTGCAGATTTATGAGCATAGCAAATTGCATATAATCACTGGTAATCTTATGGCCTTTCTGTCCCACTTAGAGATAAAAGTTTTTTCCAATTGTTTTCACATATATGATCAACGTTTCAATCAAAACAATAGCAAAATACCATAGCTTATGATAACATCAAGAGCTTGAACTTCGCTTTCAAGTTTCTAATATTACTACTTTATACATTTTAGGTATCCACATACTAAAAGTTTATTATTTAGGAGAACATTCTGAAGGTTTTTTCCATAAAAACATAGCAAACACTACTTCTGATCCATTAAACAAATGCCCCCTAAAAGGTCACATCAGAAATCAGAATCCATAAAATGCCAACGGAAATGATGCTAACAGTCTGGTACCATACTATCTTTGAACAGACAGAAACTGGAGGGAGGAGGGGAAAAAAAACCCTCCAAACAACCCCTCCACCCACAAAACACAGAAGCAGTAGCATGTACACTCTAAGTTATTCCACGGTTGTGCAAACCATTTTAGTACTAACAAAGATGTTAATCTTAGAAGGAAGCACGTAAGTTGCTTTTTAAAAAGCTAAGAACTGTTTGTAAGTGCCTAGTATAATATCAGAAAACAAGAAATACGTAGTTAACATAAAATAAGTAACTCATTAATTTGGTTTTAGAGGAGTCAACTTTAAAAGGACAAATGTCAGACTCACGTTGTCATCAATTGGTGCTGCAACACGGCAATGGTCAGGATCTGAATAGGTTTTCTGGATCAAAGGAGGCACCTACAATGAAAAAAATGTAATGTTTATAAAGTAAAAAATACTTCAGAAAACCAATAAATCAGATCAATTTTCATAATCAATTTGGTTATGAAAATGAAAACGAAACATTTGATCAAAAGTCAGTTGCATACTACCGCAGATAAATACACAGTAGTCCTTTTATCTTCCAACAAATCAAGCCTGTAGGTATTCTCCTATAGCTATCAAAGTTATCAACACCTTTAAGACCATCCACATATATTTTCTCAAGTGCTTAATGCTTCAAATGAAAAAAACCTAGAAATTCATATGGGACTGATACTTCTTCTGGTATTTCCTCTTGATCTTAAGTCCTGCCTAGTCTCGGACTTCCCAGTGAGTATAACTACAGATATATTGTTAGTCACACACCAGGGAAGTTACCAGCAATGAGAAAATCCAGAGCCAATCATTTATCTCAATAATGAAAAAACCACACAAAAAACCCCCATCCCACTCCCCATTTTTAGATTTTAAGATTTGTTATTCCCTTTCATGTTTTAAGGGTTAACTCATCTCAGTTGCTGTTCTACATCTGCACATATAACTGTTTTGGTAACACAAAATGGAACAATCCCCAATCACAGACCTTACAGCTACACACAAAAAGAGGAGGGCAAGGGAAAGGAAGGTAAGATAGACATGTTAGGAAGGTAACTACTTTCTCAGGACTTTTAGATAGCATGCCATGCTACCATTCCCCACCTCTAAGGTATTACATTTTAGGAATGTAAGAGATAAGGAAAGATGGCAGGAAAGACAGAAAGAAAATTTAATTAAAAACAGAATTCAGCAAGGAATAAGCAGAAAAGAAGCTATCTCCTTTTTCTAAGTTTCATAATATATGGGGGTTTTTTTCCCTAACGAAAGCAGCAGATGCAGCAAACTAGCTTTATGAGAATGGGTGGTAAAAAAAAAAAAAAGAAAATCAGTGACTCTCTCATTCTTCTCAAGTGGCTGCATTGAATTAAGTGAAGGGTTGCTGTAACAGTCTGTAGATGCCATCTTAAAATGTGTTACTTAGTAGCAAAGAGAATTCCATGTTTGTAGTATGACGACTGCCGAACCTTATTAAAAGGGTATATGTATAAAAGATTGCTTTCCTGTCTAATGACTTGACTCTTCGTTATACTATTCAACATAAGTTTAAGTGAGTCAATAGCTAATCTCCTATTAATTCACTAGTATATATTAACTACCAAATATTTTCTTACCTTGAAAAATGATTGCTTTATGTCTTGTCCCAATCTCTCTGACATTTTACCCATGTTGTCTGACATTTTAGTCATTCCCTCTGCCAGGCTGTCAGGGAGAGACTTGACTGCATTTGATACATTTCTCATAGAGTTACGCAGTGGGTTTACAAATGTGTCCATCTGAAGGGGAAGATGTTTAACCAGAATTGTATGATCTATGAGGACACCAGTATATTAATACACTATGAGAAGTATCACACTGCTCCAGAGAACAATACAAAGAACAACTCAAATTGCTTAACTTCATTACAGAATGCAGAATAAAGTTTTAGCTTCACTTTCATTTATATTTCTTGTTCCTTACAGCCCTATTGTAACTATTTACATCTTTCAATAGATCTTCTTCTTAATTTCCATTTCCAATCCCTCAGCTTTTCTTAGCTTCAATTTATTTTCCTTTTCTTCCTCATTCAATGCCATTTCTCCCTTCCAAGCTTCCTAATTCCAGATGTTTCACTTCTGCTTTCAACTCTTCATCTTTGAAACATGTCTCTCAAACAGCACTGGAGTAATATGCTTTAATATTATGGCAAGTATAATTAAAATCATAAAGTAGTTCCATAGAAACTGTTACAATTTTTCTTTCAGTATATACTCTAAATTCAGTCCAAACAGAGGCACAAATACTAGCGTGATGCCCTTAAAAAGTTAAGTTTATGAAGAACCTGATAAGCTGGAAATCAAATCTTACTCAGTCATTACATAAACCTTGATAAATATTTAACTGTTTCACTGTTAAATATTTAAGGAACATAGGTAGTACAACAACTTGATGTGACAATACAATTGTAGATGCTTTTTATATCAAAATCACTAAAAGTTTAGAAATAGCTATATTTGCAAAGCAGATGCCCACACAAACTGGTCAACTGAACAAAGAATCACTCAGCTGAAGAGAGTTCTGGTGGCTTAACAAAAAGGATGCACCGCTCAGAGCTCTGAATTTGACCAATGACTCTGAATGGTTAAAACGGCTAAATACGTAACAACTGCTTTTGAAGTGAAATGCATTCATCTTTTGGGCTGAAGAGTGGAGAGCATGGTAATAGCAGCAAATCAGAGTAAAGAACTGAAAAAAGAAATTAGAAGGAATGAGACTACGAAAAAAAAAATCACAGATGTCTGACAGAAAGTAACTTGCAACGAACACACTTTTAAAGTAGTCTTGGTGCAATAAACTGTGTCTGATTTGAAAACTTGATTTCCTTGTCATACAAATAAATTTGCCTATTATAAAAATGGTAAATTTTTGGTTCCATATGTCCTCAGATACTTTGCCACTCACAAAGTATTAAAGCAACTCACTTGCAAGTTTTTTTGAAAGTGCTATATAGCTGTTTAGTATCAGTTCAACATCTCTGTTTAATGCAATCATTGCACTAACGAACGCTCTAAAGTTCCCTTGACAGCGCAAAACATTCTTACCTTCCGTGCAAAATCCCCCTTCCCTTTGCTGTAGGCTTTATTCTCCAGGAAGTCATACACATAATGGGCTAAAGCTGGAGAAGCCTTCATCATTTCAGGATTTAACAAGAGCTGAGTAAAATAATTTTTAAAAAGTGCTTTTTAATAAATAATGAAAAGGCCATACCATTCAGTTTAGTAAAAGTTTACCACGCACAAAGACACTACATCTTGCAATGTATTTTCTCATTCATTCTCTAAATTTTATTCCAACATTACACTATTCTCAAGATGGAAATAACACGCTTCTTGATAATTCTCATAATTTTAACTAGTACGTTAATTATAGCATCTCACAGAAAAATACACACCTTTATGACCACTCAAACTGCTTCTAAAACTCCAAGGAAAAAAAAAGCTGTGGCTAGAAAAAATACTGCTATTAAAAATGGGGCACATATCACGCAAAGGAAAAGATATTAGCACTCTAAACAAAACAATCAGATTTCCCAATGTTTTTTTCATCTTTGTTATTTATTGTTAACATGACCATTGAGCTGGTCAACATATTTTAGTGCTAAATGACCAGAAAGTCCCTATGAAGTAGGACAACTGAATTCCTTTAGTTGGGCTGATACAGGCCTTATCTGAATGGAGAAGCTGTGTGGTTGTGCTACACCGCCAGAGCGAGTGCCAGGCCAATCCTTATGCAACATCACAAGAGAAAGTAACCACAAACATGAATGCAAGGGAAGGAAGTTAATGGCATAGAGCTCAAAACCAACACAGCTGGAACCTCATCAGCTCAGAGGAGTTGGGACAGAACCAGCTGAGAATAAACCTAAACAGCAAAGAAAAGGCAAACTTACTAGGTAATACGAAGTTCTTATGGTACACTATTTAGGATTGTATACCACCTACAACACAGCAAATTTTCTACCTCAGAAAAAAGAATTCCAACCTAGAACACAACCAAAAAAATGTAACAGCTTACCTGCAAATATGCATTTAAATCTTTTTTCCTCTTTTCCAAAAATTCTCTGTCCATATTGTTAAATGTCTTTTTGCCAGGAAGTTTCAGTATATTTGCAAGGTTTTCAAACTAGGAAAAAAGAGAAGATTTTTTGTTCTGTTTTCAAAAGAGTTTCAAATCACCCTATAAGCTCAGAAGTCATAAGAGTCACTATATTCACCTATTCTTATCTACCATGTAACACCTGACAAATAATTTCTGCATCAAGCCCAGAATCAGATTCCTTGGAGAAGCCAAAGTGAAAGGTAGGCCATCAAGGACAAATGCATGAAAATTCTCAGGGGACTGTCAAGGACAAAATTTAATTTCTGAACACACATGGGATACTCACTTTTGAAATAGACTAGTAGAGTGTGCAAATTATTCCTGTCATCACACCTGCTCAAAAAAGTTTAGGCTCAAGATTTATCATTATTATTTGTGCATAAGTTAGTAGGGTTATGAGACTACATCAAGAGAACTTGCAAGTCTTTCTAAAACATCTTCCCTTTTCTCTCCTGATCAAATCTCCTAAGGAAATGATTCCCTGGAGTGGATGGCAGTACCCAGTTTACACTCAGGTTATCATACCATGCTTGATAAGCCATCACCTGTGCCCTTTCTCCAGGTAATGACAGTGATTAGCACTGGTTGACATGTCTTCCACTGTTCCAGTTTTACAGAAAGAACTGGTGTTCCAGGGAAGCAGCAGGGAAAGAAGAGGCCCTAACGCTTAAGAAGGTTGAACATATCTGCTACAACGCACAAAAACAAAAAAGTGACAAGAATAAAGCTCGAAGAATCAGGATTATCCACATATAGAATCCAGACTTCCTGTAAATAATAAATAATATTCTAAAGGGGGTAAAGAGAGAAAGGTATAGTATCTAAGCTTTATGGAACAATCTGGAAAAGGTTGTATCCTTTTCTCTCTAGAGGAGACCACAAAATTACAGATTTAATGAGAGATCAATTCCATTCAGTCCCTGCAAGCTGCCTTTTTGCAAAGACATCATTAAACTTCGGAAGGTCACAAAGCTCATATAATGTTTATGGCCTGCGGAAGCACCAAAGAATAACTATTTCCAACTTTACAAAGTTGTCCCATTCCCTTGCAAATAGGTCACGTGGGAAAATAACTGAACAGACGATGGTCTACTTTTTATTTGGATACTTGTATCTAAACAGAAGCAATGTAAGCAAAGAACAGCCTCTATTTTAAATATAGACATCTATTTCAAATGGTATTTATTACATTACTGACTAAAACTGGTGTGAATCTATGCAGTACTTTAAGGAAAAAAGCTCATACAGATACTATACACAGCTAACTTCAATTCCATTTTGGAACAAGTACCTATTTTCTGTGAAAAAAACCAAACAACAACCCCTGCCCTTCCTATTAATTTTAAATAAAAGATTCTAACCTTTACCCTTAACATGTCAATAAAAATGTCTCAGACAAGCACACAAGAAGGGTGTTATCAGTGACATTCCTGTGCCCATAAACTCAGTAGGAATGTCTATTTTACTGTCAAAACAAAGCAAAATTGTTGCGAGTTTGTGAGATGAAGCACAGGAATTTCTTTACTTTTTGCCATCTTCATGTTGGAGGATAACATTTCCATTTTCTGTAAATTCAAAGAACTCAGATTCAGCAACAAGAAATTTCTGAGCTTTCATATTTTGAAAATTTTTGCGTCTGCCATTTTTTTCTAGTCATTTACTGGTAGGTCAATTTTAAGTGACTGCCCCATATCAGCAGAACATTAACACACTATAAGGTCAGGGAACCCATACCTGTTTCAACAGGTCAGGGATTCTTCAAAACAGTGAATTAATTAAAAAAAAAAATCAATTTGAAAACGAGTACAAAAATTGGTATTTCAAATTTATTGACAGCAGACTAAGACAATCAGAAATTCAAAGGAAAGTCAGACTTTGTTTATAATTAATACAAATATTGAACACATTTGCTTTTTTAATAAAGCCTTTTCCATTTTTACTACTGTTATGAATTTACAGTGCTAACCTACCTTCACAGAATTTGTTCTCTATGCCTCTCTATTGATAACAGAGTAAAGGGATGTAATCCAACACTTTTGACTAGTTCAAAGGTCATGTAGTCAAATCTGACTTCTCCAAAAGCTTGGTTTAAAAGCGTTTCACCCCTCCTCTTTTAAAAGCACTGCATTTTCGACACTTTTTCATGTCAGCAGGTTCTACTTTGTACCAGCTGGTGAATTACAAGTCTCTATTTTTTCTTCTTTCATTTTAGGAGGGCAAAGAGTCTGAGAATACAAGTACAGCAATAAAAGACAGATTGTCTAGCAGTACACTGAACTGCCAACAGCTGTCCCTTTTGAGTCCCCACCAATCCTTAACATTTCACTTAAAACCTAAATACCTATTTCCCAAGCTCAGTTTTTATTTCTTAATCTCTGTGACAAATATAACAAATGAAATATGCCACTGTTTGAGAACAATAGCTCTTCCATACAAACATTTTAAAGTAAAATTAAGCAAATGGGATATGTGAGGGGGAAAGCTTTTTAAGTTCCATTTACTTTTGTTAAGGCAATTATATAGCCATCAGGTACTAAACTATATAAACGTGCACCTGTAAACTGCTCGGTACAAATAATATATGATAAAAAACAGTAAAAAAGTACACTTTAATGGAAAATAACATAGTGCTCTAACTCTGCATCTTAAGTCACTTTGAGAAAGCCAATACTCATGCCATACCATCACACAGAAAAAGCACCTTTTGAAGAAACCTTGAAAGATTTTTATGAGATTAATTACTTGCTCAGTGATCCTCATGTGAAAGTCATGGAAGTCACTGTAGCGCCGATATGTCTTCCAGGTCTCTTCGCTGTTTGGATTTCGCCGATGGACTGTGATAGCATACAGTGCATATGTCTTGCCATGGTCATTACATACTCCTGCCACAGCATATGGGTCATAGTCAGCATAGACTAGTAGTTTAAAAACAAAAATAAAAAAGGAACAAACAGAAAGAAGGAAGACGAAAGGACACAAACGTGAAGTGAAGAAATGACTGGAATGACAGACTTGAGACAAAAATGGACATGCAAGTAGAAGAGTAAGCCATCCCTTTATGCAAAACACTGTATAAGTGATACCCTCCAGAAACCTATTATGTAAACATAAATATAGAGATTAAGCAGCCTTAAAGTTAGACAAGTTTCACTGACATGCAAAACATAAAAAAAGAATAGAAAAGGTTTCAACTTTTAAGAATAGTGAATAGATCTTTTAAAAAATAATTTTAACCTAAAGAATTCAAGATATGGGTGAAAGACAACTGTGAAACCAGAAGAAGTTCCAGTCTGCAAAGTACTCTAATCATATTGCAAAAGTTTGTCCATCAAAAAATCTGTAAATACAAAAGACGGTGCTAGCAAGCTGTAAGCATTCAGTTTTGCAATTAACATCAGCAGTTTGTTATTAATTATAAGATAAAAAATATCCCCCACACTATTTAAGTCAACAGAAACTATATATACACACACATGTATGTATTGCGTATTGTGCGTACATATATAATGTATTCTGTGCATGTACACACACATGCACATATTTTATGGAGAAGTCGATTTATAAGATAATTATCTGTGTTCTTTCCATTTAAACAGAAGCGAAAAACTTTTTGTTCTCCACTGAATATTTAAGTTCTCTTGGACATTCCTCCATCACAGAATTCCTCCCAGTATAGAGTTTGTTTCAAAAACTTCCGTTTAATCTACAGAATAACCTAGAACCAATATTGTTTACACTGCACGCTGTTTAAATTGATAACAGGTTGTATCTCTAAGTATTGAACCAATATTTTGAATTGAACCACAATTTTCCAGTAGCTAGATGAAAATACTTTTTAATCAAGTTCCGTGAACTTCTCAATGCACCCATGCTTGACAAATACGCTTTTCCTGAAAAATCATCAGCTCCAATCTCTGTTGTGCTTCCAGCCTTGACTTCTCTCAAGTATAATGTGAAGGTCTAAGCAGCCAGGGACCACCTCTAGGATAAGGGCAGCTGCTGACAACGGAAGAATTACTCACTAGCAAGATGCACAGTGGGCACAGAGCATCTTTTCTTTGCCTTCTACCCTCTGGGAGAAGAATATTGAGAGCTGAACCCCAAGAGAAAAGAGTGGGCAGTCAGGATGCCCAGAGTCAAGACTGCCCAGAGAACGGAGCCGGGAAACCCCGGCTCCACGGACGCTGAGCAAGCCCTATTCTCTAAACTCAAGTTGACCACTCTGCTGTGCAACCACCATACCACTTCTCAAGGGCGCTGCTAAGTGGTACCTTCAGGAGTAGCACTTCAGGACAGGAGTGGCAGAAAAAGAAAGAAGTTGTCCCCGCTGCCCCTTATGTCATAGCCTCTTAATCAGCATTTATTTTCCAACACAAGACAAGATGAATCCTCAAAGATTATGGAGAAGATCTTGTATACACCCCAAAAGCACATAAAGGGTAGTAATCAGCAGAGAAAAGGAGCCTGCACACAGATGCAAGATGCACCTACTGCCTGTAGCATCCAGAAAGCAGGCACTTATATTTCTTGTTCAAACATGAGGTGAAGAGGAAGGAGATGTCCAGTTTAATCCTATCTTACAATACGAACCTGTACATATTCCCTCGTTCAACTGGAGTATCACGGATTCACAGAGTCAAGCTGATAGTTATCAATACATGCTGCCATAAAGATTATAAATTTGTGTGGTTCTAAGTTTACCTTTTTTCTTAGATCAATACAAGGAAAATTCTAAGTTTAATTCAGAAAAAAGTATCACATGCTATTTTAAATAAATAAGCAAAATTGCGATTCTTAACTTTTAAATGATCCTTCCCCTTCTTTAAGGACTGACTACATGACACTTGGGATTGCACCATGCTCTCACACTTAGTTGGAGTAAGAGAGTTTAATTAAAATGTCAAGTAATTGAATTCTTGCTCACAGCTCATGTGTCTGCTATACAAATGCATAGATTTAAATTCTATTGCATAGTAAAATCTACCAAAAAAAAGTATCTGAAGAATCATTCACAATTTAATTACCCAGTGCAATCTCATCTAACTAGAATATTTGCAAATAGTATTTAAGAGGCTTGTTATTTACTCTCACATAATAAAAATTTTTAATTTATTGCTAGGCAAATTTTTTCAAAAGATAACCAAAAATGCCACCACTGTAAAGACTGAAGTCACTAACTTAAATGAAACTCAGTCAGTAAGGAAGCACAAAAAATAGGGGAAAATATTATAGCAACAGAAGTAAACAGTCAAGAATTAGAACTGTGTGACTAAAAAAAAAGAGATGGCTTTTACAATTTGTTCTTTAAATATTTGCTAAAATAAATGCTAGTCAATATTAAGTTTCATGAATGATTCTCCAGAGACAGGAAAAATAATAATACCATAAACAACAAAAATTAAATCACATTTTAAGTACAGATATATAGTCTACAACCTACAGCACAATTCTGTAAGAATTTCCATTACAAGGACTTAATGGGAAATATGAAATCAAATGTTTTATGATGTTAAAAAAAATGAAAGGATTAGGATTTCAAGGGCTTGTAATATTAAAAAACTCAAAATAAATGGTGGAAAACAAGTAAGCAACCATCATAACAGATTCACTTACCAGTATCTGAGATGTATGCATGGAGTTGAACTGTCTCATCAGAAGGGACATTTGAAAGGTCATCTAAGGACTGCAGGAGGGGGAGGGGAGAGAGGGGAGAAGGAAGAGAGGCAAGAGAGAATAAGATCACAGATAAATCTCATTTGAGAGATGCTTTTTGATTCATCTATTTGATTTTCAAACTTTCAGTTCACTACACTTAAAGAATAGCTTAATGCACTGTAACAATGCAAATAAGTGTGTGTATTACCCGGTTACTAAATCTTTTCTTTTACACAGAGCGTAGGACCCTCCATTCCCCTAGCAGTTTCACATTGTTTTGTGATCACTTTAACATATTTGCCACTTTCATTTGATATCTCAACTCTAACAGAAGTTAGAAGCTACAAATAGTCTTTTGCTGAGCATTAAAAAAACCAAAAAAAAAACCCCAAATGATTGTGGAATCATAGAATCACAGAATCATAGAATCATTTAGGTTGGAAAAGACCTTTACGGTCATTGAGTCAAGCCATTAACCTAACACTGCCACGTCCACCACTAAACCACGCCCCTAGGCGCCACATCTACACCTCTTAAATACCTCCAGGGATGGGGACTCAAC